GTAGTTTTCAGGGAATAACTTATCCTGTTAGCTGATTTTTAGTCACTGCTTTTCAGCACATGAAAGACTTTTGGAGAACTGACCTGGACCACACTTTGCTTGTTTAACCCTCTGTCTTCCTGATACATATAGTGACCCCGGACAAGAGAGCAGCTCCCCTCCTCACTTTATTCCCATATCTAGATCAGTGCCCAGCACATCCGAGAGACTAGACATATACCTGCTGCCTGAAGGGGATGAACCACCTCAAATAAACACCCAGGGAAACAATTGTTTAGAGAATCTTTCGGTTCCCTTGGGTAGTCTCCAAATTTCCACAACTATGTTCCTGAACTCACAAATATGAGTTTTCTAGGAGCAATATAGCATAGTTGAAGGAAGCAAGAGCATTCCACCTGGAGGCAATGGTCAATGTCCAAAGGCAAGATAAAAGGCACATGTGGGGGCAGCATGGTCCAGTGGAGAGTCTGGTATTGATAGACTTCAGTGTGACTATGGGCAAGTTACCAAGCCTTTCTGGGCCTGAACACTTTTTTTTTTCTTTTTTAACCTGCAAAACAGGATGATGGTAACATCTCCCTCACTGCGACTTTGTAATAAATTACATATGTATGCCTGTCTATACACACACACACACACACACACACACACACACACAGAAACACACACACACACACACACACACTCACACACACATATATATGATTGGTTATACTTGCTAGCACACAGAATTTGCTCAATAGGTGACAGCAAGTTACGACTATACCCTGGAAAATCCAGCAAAGCCCATGTGAGGGACAGGTACGGCTGAGATGAAGGGCTTGATTTCCATGGTGACAAAAGCCTTAGTCCTCAATGGGAATGATGGATACACCCTTTGAGTCGAAAGGAGGACATGGCATGTAACACATAGTAGACCTGGCAAGTTTCTAATTTGCCAGTACATCCTGTTTGTTCACCTGTCAAAATACAGCCCAGAGACCACCATTTCTCAGCTCCTCCACAGACATCATCCTAACATAGGCCTCTGTCACCCGTCCCTGGAGTGCTGCAAGAGATTCACACTGTGGTCCTTTCCTTTGCTCTTGCCATATTGCAATCCATTCTTCACAAAGCAGTCTAACACATCATTAAAGAGATAAGTCAGGTCGCAGCTGGCCCTCCAGTGCCTTTCCGGCACACTGAAGATAAAATCTCAAATGGTTTCTGCAGCCTCCGGGTCCTAATTTGTCTTAATCCCTGGATATCTTCATGATATTATCTCTAAAATTTTCCCCTGTACTCATGCTCTGGACACACTGGATAGCTTACTGTTCTTGGCCACCTCAAGCAGCCACAACCCCAGGGCATTTGCACTTGCCTGAAGTGCTCTCACTTCCACAATTACTTACCTGGTTCACACCTTCACTTAATTCAAGTCCCTGCTCAAATGTCACCCTCTCAGAGAGCTCTACTCTGATCTGTGAGTGTAAAGTTGCATCGCATGGGGCTTTCCATCCTCTCCCGTGCTTTAATTTTTTATTTATTTATTGATTTTTGAGAGAGAGAGAGAGAGACAGACAGACAGACAGAGAGATGAGTTTGTTGTTCCACTTAGTTATTCTTTGGTTGATTCTTCTATGTGCCCTGAAAGGGGATCAAACCTGTCACCTTGGCATATCAGGACAATGCTGTAACTAATTGAGCTACCTGGCCAGAGCCCCAACTCTGATTTTTTGATTCATTATAGCTATTCTATAATGTTACAGGCAAGTACATTATATGCTTATTCATCTACATGACTGGGGTCTGGTCTGCACCAGAATGGAGGCTCTCTGGAGGAAGGGCTTCTCTTGACTTATGTAATGATATGTATGTCCTGAGAGCTGAGAACAGTTGCTGATACCGGTGATAACTCAATACACACTAACCCACTGAAATGAATTTCCAGTTGCTCTGTCAAAATAAGCAACTTGATTTTCAACCTCCATTCATGTACCAGACCTATATCTATTACAATACAATCTCAAGCCAGTCATGGAAAAGCTCCAAAGAATCACAGTGGTAGGAGACCCTGACTGGAAGGAGAAGGGAGATCCATCTCTTGCAGAATCCAACTCATCAAAGGATATTAAAAATGTTTTTATTGATTTGAGAGAGAGAGAGAGAAAAAGAGAGAGAAAAAAATTGATGAGAGAGATACATGGATCAGCCTCCTGCACTGTGGATAGAGCCTGCCATTCAGGTATATGCCTTGACCAGGAATTGAACAAGCGACCTCAGGATGCATGGGACAACATTCAACCAATCAAACCACACCGGCCAGTGCTCATCAAAGGATCTCAGTGTCACAGTTCAAGAAGCTACTGGGCTGTTCAAGGAGGAGGTACTAGATGGGACACCCACACATGTCTTTCAGGAACAACCAAACCAAAACCAAAACAAAACATCGAGTATGACGTTTGGAGCCATTGAGTCAAAAAATCAATTTGCGTGCTAATACACTCTCATATCCCACACATGCTACGTAATAATAAACGTTTTTTTCTATGTGGCTAGTAAAAGCAGACTTGACATTTTGGTGTCCTCTCCAAGTGACCCACGTAAAATAAACATTGACACTTTTCCTGTGGGAATTGAAAGAAAAATCGTTCAGTCTCACTGTGGCTGTTGTTTGATGATTTTTACCATCTCTACACAGACTCTCACATAACACTGCTCAGCTAGCTCTGTCCTCCTAGGTGGCTGTCTAAGAATAATACATCTTCATAAAAAATTTCAGTTATATGTTCATCAAACCCTCAAAACTGAGATGTTAAGCCTCTTGTTAATTTCTTTCTTCATTCACAAGATGAAAGTTGCCATGTGTCAAAAACTAAAATCCAGGAGATACCAGGATTCAACAGATCCACCCTGAGAAGTGTTGCTCGTTACACAGAGGTGAGAGTTCATGACAGGTGTGGTGTTTAGAATGTGGGTGTCCTGGGTTTTGTCCAGGATATGGGAGGTAGGTCCCGGGAAGACCTCATTGAAACCATGAGTCATAAACTTCATTGACTGAGCAGTTCTTTCTCTATGAGGAGGGTGGTCTGGTTGGGAGATCCTTTGACTTTTGATTGATAGGAGTGTCTCCATTTTCATGCTTGATTCAAAATGCAGAGCTCAAATTGAACCTTATGAAGCAGCATAGGACATATTATTAATATGGCCGTCAAAGCAACAGTTGCCCTCTCAATTTGAAATTTGATCAATAGCAATTCATTAAGAATTTATTGAGCAGCCATCCTAAATTAGATAAGGTAGGTGAAAACACAGGCTCTATTCAGGCAAACTTTCATCATCTGCAGCCTCTTTTTGGGATATTATGTGTGAGCCATTTGTTTGCAAGGGAGGGTTTGTTAAGTCACTAAACAACAATCCATATCTACCTCTTATATTTGACCTATGATGTTAGGATATACCCTAAGACCCACTGGGATATGTATACAGTGTATCAGGGAAGACAGAAAATCTGAGAGACCAGCGTATCCACACAAGATGTCCATTAACATTTTAAACCAGCATTCCTTCCCGTCCCAAGCAATTTCCCCTTTGGTTCCTCCTCAAGGTTTTGAAAATGTTAAATGATTCTTGTATCCCAGGTTCATTCCATTGCCTCCCCCAGCAATGCAACCATCAATCTTTTACTATTAGGCATTAGTGAAAGGTTATGGATGTCACCACCTCTCACAGGGCGAAACAGAGACATTTGCTGCTAAGGGTTGAGGAGGAACGTTATCTACGGGACTTTATAGAAAAGGAGCAAACTGACACTTTAAAATATGAGCATGCGTACCCCATTCAGCTTCCCAGGTGAGGCTCTAATCCACTAAAAACATGGAGACCAACCACATCAGTGAAACCAACGCAGAGTTTTCTGAGCCCTTGCTTTTTTAGAGCAGAGAGGGCCAGGGACATGTTCCTAGTTCTCTGTCTTCCTCTAGCTCCTTCTCTTCAAAGACTGTGAGTAGGGAGTGAAACAAATACACCTCTGTGTATGGCTCCAGTGATCAAATGTGAAGGGTAGCTGAAGAATGTCTATTTGCAAGACTCAGTTTAATGTATGCTTTTGAAGGTCATGGTATATTTAACTATACATGGATGAGCTCTACCATGCACCCTTTTGCTAAAAAGCACAATTCCTAGCAATCATGGCAGTCAGAGTTTAGGCTAAAAAAAAGAAATAATAAACAAGGAAACAATTTAAACAATTAAAAAAGATCTCTAGTTAGTTAAGTCAATCACCTCTCTGGACATTTAATCAAGTAATTCCATGCTAATGAAACTGTGACCATATCAAAGCAAAAGACAAGCATTGTTGTGATGGACACATCATGCAAGTGTGATTTCCATCTGCCAGTGCCCTGATCTCAGAAACAGAAGACTCCATCTGAGTCCTGTTCTGTGGAATAGGTTTTAAAAGAAAGGCAATAGAGGATCTTTAACTAATGGAATGGAGATCCCCTTCTTATAAGAGAGAGGTAATTATATTCCCTAATGCCAGTAGCTTTATAGATTCAGTCTTTGGGGGCCTATAATCTATATCAGTCATTCCAGAAAGATCCCAAATAATTCACATATACATCTGTGTGAACCCAGACATAGTAAGTCAAAAAATACAGAAGTCACATGTCTGTGTCCCTCATCTCCCCTGTCCAGGATAAGAGCACTGATTATACCATAAAGTTTCATTGTGGCTTCATTCAACATAGCTTTACTTTTCTGGATCACATAGTATTAAAACGGAAGACAAAATTTTCAAGTTAGCAAAATGTCTAAGTTCTCTTTAGGCAGTAGAGAATAAAGGCTCCTGCTATACTCCAAAGATACACGGACTTGGTTGTTTTTTTTGTTTTTTGTTTTTTTTTTTAACTAAACTTTCTAGAGTGACCAACTGCAGCATGTGAAGGGAAAGGAAAAAAAAAAAAAAAAAGGATACTGAGACGTGGATGGATGCATCAAGAAGTAGCAATGTTTGTTACCTGCAGAGGTGTTACAAGAAATTTCATCTGCTGCAACGAAGACGAACTGATTTCTGGAAGAGAAGATAAAATTCACAATACTGCTCGCTCAGGGGGACATGTGCTGTCTGCCAATTGGTTCGATGTATTCAGATGAGGGGAGGGGAGGGTGTGCATTTGGATGGATGTTGCAAGGAATGTGTGGCTAAATCTCGGTCTCGGAGAGTTTAGAAAGATCATGAGCTAGGCATGCGGGGACCTCGTCATGGCGATGTCAGAATATGGACCAAGCTGTTGCATTGGAATATTAATGCTACGTGTTACCAAAATGTCATGCCAGGAGACGTTCCCAAGGCCAGGGCATTCAAACAAAGTTTACACAGACTTCTATGCTGAGCAGAGATTACATTTTAAAAATATAGACGATTAGAAAAAAAAGAGGGGGAGTATATTGCAATGAGCTAGGGAAATAATAAAATTCTAGACTTTATTATTATGAATATCATATCCAAAAACTATTTTAGAAAAAGGCAAGAAAAAGAAATGCCGTCATTTCAGAAGAGAATGCTATATGGTGTCATGTAATGGATAATCATTTCCTCACCAAACTAGCTTGCTAGTGAAGAAGGAAAGAGAGCTCATCAGTTCAAATAAGCCCTGTCTTGCCAAATTATTTTTAATGGTGCACTAAAAGAAAATAAAAATGGAAAATGCCATTTTACTTTGATTTAGTAAATCTAGAAAGCTGGTAAAACTCTCTTAAGATGTTTTCAACTGTGGCGTTTCCGCAATGCAATGCATTCTAATTCAGACATGCTGTTTATTTCTCCAGAAATAAGAACATCTGTGTCAGGCAGATTATACAAATGCCCCGATGAGATTGGCGAGGCTCTTAAACGCCTCGGCGGCAGCAGTATAGAGCCTTCTAGTTCTCATTTGTGAGGTTTTACTGTGCCTACGGATCATCAAGAACCAAGATAAATCCATTTTGGTGGCGTCTTAGCTTGATTGGTCTTGTTCAAATGTTTCAATGCTTCAAAAAGTATCTCGTGCTTGAGCATTTCTTAAAACATCTTAAGAAAGTTTTACTGTTGGAAGAGGTACTCCCTGGAATAAAAATAGAGCTACTGTATTGAAATTCACTAGAAGTTAGCATTCAGTTGACAATTCTAATCATTTCTGCACCAACATCTAGACAAAAGGATACATGCTCTGAGAATAGTATTTGATGTTTCTCTTTCCCATAACAAAGGTCACAGCTAAGTTCATTTATCACCTCTCTTAAAACAATTAAATTAATGTGGTTGGAGTTTTGCTATCTTTTTTTTGTAGTCCACACTAACTTTGCAAGCCCCATCAATATCTGGCATCAAAATTCCAAAGTTTGATGTCCCTGAAAATGATGTTTGGGGTGAATATTGGTTTTTGACTTGCTCACGTGGGACTTACTCAAGGGGCTGAAGGACACGGGTGTCTCAGATTACAGGTGTGATATTGGTGGGTGGAATAAACAAGTCCTTGGAAGAACCTCTGTTTACAGCAGGTTCACAAGGAAAACACTGTAACAAGGAATGGTCCACTCCCAGGGCAAGCTCTTGGGAACAGCCATTCCCTGACCTCTGAGGGGGCCCCAGTCCTAGGTGGTTCTATCTAGTTCATACTCCCCAACCCTAGAAGACACTGCCTGGCCCCTTGTATCCCACCTCTGCATTTTCTCTAAGGAACTGTGCAGCCCGCTAGACATGAGGAAAGCTGTGGGAGGCAACCAATACAAATACATGCAAGATGGTGACTGAATAAATAGGGGAAACTTTTAGAATGCAACTCAAAAGCATGCCTGTCAATTGTTCCAGAATTTTAGAAAATGTGATCTTTGTCCCTAATACTCTTCTTTCTAATAGTACGCATTTAAAAAAAAAAAAACACACACACAAAAAACAGGCCACCATTTCTCCATTTACTTCTTTCTTTCCTTCCTATTTTTTTTCTTTTCTGTTTTAGGTAACTCATGTTTTTACTGTTTCTGATTCACAAGCAAATTTCTGAAAAAAGGATAATGAATACCCTTTTGATAACTCACTCTCTTCTAAAGAGTAGCCTCAGATGACTTCTGTCAAAGCAAATCTAAATCGATCAGAGAGCACCAATTGTGATCTTTTAAGGAATCCCTGATGAACTCTGAAGCGATGCCAAAAATTTACAAAATTATTTGTAATAAATGATAGTCATATATTTTTTTTTAGCCACACAACCCAGTACATCTCAGGTTACCCTGACAAAGGTTTATGGATGAAGGTACACTTGTCTGAGATGGAGGTTACCCTAACATCTCAGAAAAGTGCCTTTTCACAGTACTCATTTATTCTATGGAGTCAACCACCCCTCCCTCTAAAGTACCTTTCCAACAGGTGGTCATAAGGACAATAAATAGGAAATCCCTGCTGAATAACAGCCTGGTGAGGGGCAGTGCACACAGATAAATTCAGGTAGAATTCGAAGGGGTGGTACCTGTATACACCATTTAATGTTGTGTTCATCTGTGGCTCTGTTTCTCTCCACTTGAACTTTAAGACAAATGATCTATCTTGGCCATAAAGGGATCATCTAGGCCTCTCTCTGTAAAGTCATTTTTATACCAAATAACCAGAGAGGTGTGATTGATAACTTCATGATGCAGCTGAGAAGTGGTTATCCTCAAAGATTTTCAGGAACCTTAGGTGACCAGAGCAATGCAGGTGAGCTCTTGACAGTGGAGTCATCACTCATCTTCAGCTTTAGGAAGCAGGCTGTCCCCAGGGACTGTCCCCTTATGCTAATCCTAGCCTGCTTTTCACTCTCATCACTGGCCTATGGGTTTAAACTTCAAAGCAGTTGCACCTGATTTTCAGCCATCTGGTTTGTTCAGTGGTTGTAGGTGGTCAAGGAAGTCTGGCCAAGTAGTTCAACCTGGGCCACAATGGTAAACACCTGGTGTCCTTTTAAAATTTCTAGTGAACAGGTTACATCCAAGACCAGTGATTGGCAAACTCATTAGTCAACAGAGCCAAATATCAACAGTACAACAATTGAAATTTCTTTTGAGAGCCAATTTTTTAAAACTTTAACTTCTTCTAATGCCACTCCTTCAAAATAGACTAGCCCGGCCTATGGTATTTTGTGGAAAAGCCATACTCAAGGGGCCAAAGAGCCACATGTTGCTCGTGAGCCACTGTTTGATGACCACTGTCCAAGACCAACTAAATAGGGATCTTAGTGAATGGGTCTCAGGGCATCATTAGTTTCTAAAGATCTCCAGGTGATTCTAGCATGCAATTCAGAATGAGAACCACTTGTCTGGTTGAATGGTTCTCACTTTAGCTACCAATTAGATTCATAGGGAGAAGTTAAAGGTCCTAACTTCGAGCCCTGCTCATGTTGGGACCCTGCTGCTAGGGCCTTGGCTTCATCAGACTGGGATAGGGTCTAGAAAGAGGTAGGACAATGCTTGGCAAGTGATTCTAACACCAGCCACAGCTAAGATGCACTGGGTATTGGACAAATCACAGTAAAAAAAAAGAGTTGAATCACTGCATCTCTTGTAGCTTTTGTTTCTTCTTGCAATGTCACCACTATGCTATCCTCTAGGTCAGTGGTCGGCAAACTCATTAGTCAACCGAGCCAAATATCAATAGTACAATGATTGAAATTTCTTTTGAGAGCCAAATTTTTAAAACTTAAACTTCTTCTAATACCACTTCTTCAAAACAGACTTGCCCAGGCCGTGGTATTTTGTGGAAGAGCTACACTCAAGGGACCAAAGAGCCACATGTGGCTCACGAGCCACAGTTTCCTGACCATGGCTCTAGGCAAGCATGTCAAACTCCCAGCTGGTGGGTTGCATGTTTGACATGCTTGCTAGGTCCACCTAGCTATGTGGTTGTCAATGATGCAACTACAGAAATAGTATACATTGCCCAGGAATGCTTACTTCTAGTTTCTGAAGGTCTTCTAACAGAATGGACATGAAACTCCATTTCTGAAAGAGAAGCTGGTCTACCATGGTCATGTCATGCTCTCTGTATTTCCTTCTTATCCTGTTCTATTTATCCCACTACCTTCCATGGATTTACTCAAAATCATCTTTGCCGGGCCTTCCCATTTTTCTTCTGAGTCTGCATCTAATTCTCTACCAACTTCTTTAACTTTCTATTTTCTTTAACCCTTCCTCTACTTCATTTCTTTTTTCTTTAACCCTTCCTCTACTTCATTTCTCAACCTTCCCTGAAGATAAATATTAGGTAGAATCTTTGTTAAACCCTTGGTTTTGACTCTGATCACCTGAACCAGAATTCCCAAGAGAGAAGTGTGATTATCAGTACATTTAACAAGAACCTTGGCCTGGCTACCAACCAGCTTCCGGGGACACCATTCACACTCTTCTAAGTGATGGGTGCTCCTGGGAGGGAATCAGGCTTCTGGGTAATTCTGACCATGGGGAAATTCAGGAAAGCTTGTTGAGAAATCTGCTGCAAGTTCATTCTCAGTTTCATTTCAAAACCCACCTTTCTCAAGAAGACTCCTTGACATGGTGAGGCTTTATGGAAGAAGGGAGGATTACTAATTTAAAACAAAGTAAAATGGTAAATTCCTAGGCACAAAGGAGAAGGCTACAACTGTCTCAACTCTTGGAAATGTCAAAACCAAAGAGGCACTAATGTCAATGGCGCACTTATCCATGACAGGCCATTGCCAAGTGCTGTACCTATGCACAAATTTTAGTTTTTCTTAAAACTTCTTTTACTATCCCCATCTCTCTAGATGAAGAAATGAAGCATAGAAGGGTTATACAGCATGAGCAGGCTGTGGTACCGATGAAATCTGAACATAGAGGGGTTGGATCCAGACCCTGCCTCTTCTTCATTCTTAGACTCTCCTTAGAGGCACTTATATAGGGATATTGAATCAACAGTGGGGTTTGTCATCTCTGTGGAGCAACTTCCTTATATAGTTCAGAATCTTCAGTTCTTCTGAGACCAAATAAGAAGGAGATTTGGATTTCCCTTTGAGTATGATATAGACTAATTACATTCTGTTT